CCATGGCATACAGGTGCAAATGTCTACTCAAATTCTCATCTGTAGATAACGGGAATCAAGTGCCTACAGAAGACAAGGCTCTGGGTCACCAAGGATTTGCTGCCATATAACATTTTAACAAAAAGAGTATAATGGATTGGTTAGTTACTTTTAACTGCTCTGGAGAACTTGGGGGGCAATGAGTTCTAGAGGCTTTAAATTCCTAGCTCAAGGTCCATATGAGGGACCTGAAAGCCCCTATCAATGCGTTGAAAGAACCTCTTACTGTCTATAGCCACAGTACTTAGTTTCTGAAAACTGTATATACCTGTATATAGCTGAATTACAAAGCAAATTCAATTCCCAGTTTCCCAGGGTCTCTTTTGTTAAATGCTATCATCAATATAGATGGGATCTTTAAAATTAGGACAGTGACATATAGGCCTATTTTGATGAAACTGGGTACCTCAAAGTCCTAAATTGGCTCAAGCCTTTTCTGCTGTTAGAGGAAGCCCTTTCTACTTTGCCTGAAGACCCTCTGATGGCCTCTCCTGCCATATTTGCTTTACAGTGTAGTGCTGATTCTCCTCAGGACCTATCCTAACAGCTCTCCTTGCTGCTAGATGTATGATCAAACTCAGGTCCAAGCAGGCTCAGAAGGATGATATACACAGTGTGACTCATGGGGAGGTCCAACACAAGCCAGAAGAGTTGGATGACTTTGCCAGTCCATATTAACAGAAACCTGAAGAATATCTGTGGAATTGGATCCCAATTATGTGATACCAATGTGGAAGGAATGTAGAGTCAAATTAGGGTGACTGTATTGATATGAGCTGACTAAGCAGACATTCTGGATTCAGAGTTTTAGTTCAAGGGGCTTGGAATAGCTCTAACAGATTTTTTGGTTAGTTGACAAATATGGACCCAAATACTGCCTCTACCAACTGAAGACAAATATGTCAGAATTTCCTTGGCCTACTGTCAAGAAAGGTATACAAATACTTAGGTGAATTGAAATGCTTGAGTGAATTTATCATTTGAGACAGGCTCACTCAGTGCAGGAGAGTTCAGAGGATATGCCCTTCACCACAGCTACAAGAAATAAATCTGTGAAAGGAGCCCAACATCCTTGAAGTGTTCTGCTGTAGGCCCATCTATGCATCAGAAATTACCGTGGAAGCTGCTACAATTAAATGGGGATATCTGAATGCAATGATGGTGATGGAATCCCAAGCCCATGGAGACCAAATGGTGGCAATTCACCTCCAAAGACCAAGTAGATATAGTTATCAAAATGGACAGCAGATTTAAAGCAGTAGTCAGAATATCAGAATTGTATGACTTGCAGAAATCTGTAACACTGACTACTTGATCATGCAATCCCTAGAGCTAAAGCAGGTGGCTAACCTATTAATGTCTTGCTCAATCCCTATAAGCCTAAAAACTCTAGCTCCCAAAGTCACTGAGTACATTTACACCTTAAGGAAACTAAATAATTGCAGGAAATATATGTTCACAATCTTTGTTTCCAGGTCAGGAAAAGAGTTGTTGATGTCTGGGATTAGTTCACAACAGTAACAAGGCAAATTTAGACAAATTTATTTTCAGTCATATCATCTGTAAATAATGATATTTTAACTTCCTAGTTTTGAATTTCTATATTTATTCTTTCTCTCATATGATTGTATTAACTAATACTTGTAAAACGATGTTTATACAATGTGATAATATTGGACCATCTTGTCTTTACCTGGACATGAGCCTCAAGATGCAGGAAACTTCACTCTAATACTCAGTATTAACATTCTCTGGTATCTTAGTTTATATTCTCTTGAGTGATAATGAAATGGACTCAATCAAGCATATTTATGCATTTTCCTGGGATTATGTGTCCAATTCTAATCAGTCATCTATGGCCAGGGAGTCTACTCTGTAGTACCAAGAAAGGCATTATATGCTTGTATAATCAGAAAGTCATAATCAGCATATCTGGGGCAGTCATATTTAGGAAAGACTATCGTGAAGAATATGGAAAACTGTAATCTCCTATCTTCTCTCTCCTTTGTGAAATTCCACACACCCTCTACATGTTCAAAAGAAACCCCATATTTAAAATTACAATCGTGTGCCACAAAACAATGTTTCAGGCAATTACAGACCACATATATGACCATTTTTTATCTTTCCACCATATTTTCACTGTACTTTCATATGTTCAGATGTTTATATACACAAATACTAGCACTTAACATTGTGTTATAATTGTTTACAGTATTGAGCACAGTAACATGCTGCATAGGTTTGTAGCCTAGGAGCAATAGACTGTACCATACAACCTAGGTGTGTGGTATGATATACCATCTAGGTATACACTCTATGCTGTTCACACAATGACACATTTCTCAGACGGTATCCCCATTGTTAAGTGACATGTAACCATATACTGGAGGTTTTGGTTTTATTCCAAACAAAATATTTTGCTTTCCTACAGGATTTTCAAAACATTTTAATTTACCTTTGAACTCTGTCACATTCATTATCTATAAATTAATGAAGCAACAGTGCAATTATACAGAAAATTTATTGAATAGAACTATTATCCAACTCTTTCACTTAATTTTTTTTGTTTGTCCTCTATACTCCAAAAATAAGGAGCATGATAGCCTCTTTTTAATCTGCTGCAGCTGGCCTGATCTACTGAATATAGTGACAGCATGAAACTTTACTCACTGATTGTTACCATGCTACTAATCTACTCACTGCCTTCCATTTTGCCAAGGTCAATCCTCCTTTCATGCAAACTAATTATACTGTCAAAAAAAGGTTTCCACACTCCTGTCTACTTATGCAAGTCCAAACATACTTGCAGATGCATCAAAAGTTCTTTCTGCTGAAAATATAAAATCTCCTCTAACTCCTTTCTGAATCCTCAGGCCATGGGACCACATGTGGCTGAGAAGAAAATGTTATAGGAAGGACTAGCACCAAGTACCAACCTTGTAATGGTACTTGGTCCTCTACTTACAGGACTTACCATCTCTGACACTTTTCTGTCCCTCACTAATATAATTTAAAATGTTGGCCATAATACCCTCAAAATTATTTACTTGTGGAAAATACTCATAATATATTTTTTTATTCTTAGCCATTCCTGACACAGGTACTTACACATAATTAATGCTCAAAATTTGTTTTAAAAAAATCGAATGCCTCATTGGAAACCAATGAGAAAAAAAATTAATCATTTTAATTAGTGACTCCACAGATAAATACAAGACAAAAGAAAAGTAAGGTTTATACATCACTATTCCACTAAATTTAGTTTCATTATATAAAATACTTCAGGTATGCATTCCAAAATGACTTTTATTGAATCAACAGTGTAAAATATTCCAGAGATCAGAACATGAAATTACAGTGTGCATTGTTTATACTCTTCTCTGTTGTTGTTGTTGCAAACTGGATGGTAACGGAGCTCGATCCCTGGACCTTGGTATTATCAACACCACACTCTAACCAGCTGAGTAACCAGCCAGCACAATACTCTTTTTATTTTGTTTTCTTATTGTTTGACTTTTGCTTTATTTTTTAAAATTACTATTATTGAAACACAGTTGATTGTACATATCTGTGGGGTACAGAGTTGAATATCAATACCTGGAGCAATATGGGATGCTCAAATCAGGATAATTAGTATATTCAATATTATACTATGTAATCATCTTTCGTGACCCTTTACCAATTCCTTCCTGTTGTCCCCTCTCTCTCCCCCTGTCCCACCTGTGGGTAACCTCAGTTTTGATCTCTCTTTTTCAAAGTTCAATGTATTATAGTGATTGTTGTATCTTTCTTTCCACAGTACTCTTTTTAATACATGGATTTTTTTTTTTTGCAGCATTTTCATAGAATTTTCGATCCCACAAAATTCTAGGGAATTGAACTACACATTATTTTCAGGTGATAAAAGTTTGTATAAAAATGATAACTGCGAGTGATTATTGATAATTCATTTGCAGAGTTTCCAGTTGCTAATGATCATTATGCCAGTCTTTTTGTGGTAGATTTTTTTCACTTGCAAAATTTCTTGACAATGTCTGTGGTTACTACCTGATCCCAAGGCTGAATTACTGGTCCCACAATATTGCAAATGAACATTCTGAGTACCCAGCCATTAAGCAGAAAAAGCCCACCTGCTATCCCTAAAACTCTTAGAGGTACAAAGATTAAAGGAACAGAAAGGAATAGTCAAAGAAGAGCAGCAAATCAACAGACCCTCTGGTAGTGCCATCATACCTGGACTGTGTCTGTTATGGTCTGAGTTGTGTCACCTGTTGAAGTCCTAACGCCCAGGACTCCAGTCTGAAAACACTTAAGTTAAAATGAGGTATGTAGGTTGGGCACTCATCTGATATGATTCATGCCCTTATAAGAAAAGATTAGGACACAAACACACATAGAGAATGAGAATGTGAGGACACACAAAGAAGACAGCTACCTGCAAGCCAAGGAGAAAGGTCCCCAAAAAACCCAAGCCTGCTGATATCTTGATCTTGGACTTCTAGTCTCTAGAGCCATGAGAAAATAAGTTTCTTTGGTTAAGCCACCCAGTCTGTGGTACGTTGTTATGATAGCCCTAGCAAACAAACAGTGCTGCAAAAGACAAGGAAAGAATGACCATTTGAAGATAAATGAGAATTGAGCATAAGAGAAGATGATTAGGGATTTCACATCCAAGAATGAGGCTCAGAATTCACTGAATTGGAAGAAACAAGAGCATGTGAAAAGGACATATACAAAAATTGAGATGGGTGACATATGTAAACCACTTATCATTTATTATTTATTGTAGTAAATATCTTTACAATATTTTAATGGTTTAAACTTCCTATAATTTCTTCCTGGCTAATTTGAAAAATAATACATTTCCCCAATTAGGAAAGGTTTTATTTATTTTACTTAATTGTAGCATAAATTAAAACTTGAAAACATTCTTAATTTTCTCAATTGAGTACCAACACTTATTCTGAAAATAAACTAATGGTTGATGAACTATCCTTTAAAACTTCCCCACTTAAAATAAGTTTTATGGCTTTTCTAAACCAAGGATAAAATAAGGCATAAATCAAAGGATTCATGGCTGAGTTATAATAAGTGCTCCAGCAGCAAATTTCATAGATATAAGCAGGGGTTATGAAGCCCATAAAAGCATCAATTAATGTATCAATTGTATACGGTAACCACGAAATCATAAATGCTATCACTGTGACCCCCAGGGTTTTAGCAGCTTTTCTCTCTCTCTTGGCCACTCTGGCTTTGTAACTCTGGGAGGATGATTCTGCTTTGCTACTAGTACTTTCCATTTTTATAGCTTGTTGTTTAGCTACAAGAAAAATCTTACTGTAAAGAATTATCATAACAAAAGTAGGAATGAAGAACAACAGAAAATCTATCAAAACCCAGTCTTGATTCACAACAATCTGACATCCTCCTACACAGTTGAGGGCACTTACTAATTCTTCCATCCCGTCGTCACTGGCACCTGTGCAGAACACAGCACCGCTGTACACCAGGGGCAGGATCCAGGAGATGCTGATGCAAATTCCTGACACACGCACCGTGAACTTGGTAGGATAGACCAGAGGGTCCATAATAGCAATGTATCTGTCGATGGAGATGAAGCACAAGTGGAAGAGAGAAGAATAACAAAATGCCACATCACAGCAGCTGTGAAAGGTACAAAATTTGTCTCCAAAGTACCAGCAGCTCTCCACGGACCTGACCGAACTTCTGAGGAACACACTTAACCCGTATCAACAGCTTTTCCTTCCTTTATAATCTCTCTTGACCTGTCATGGTGTTTGGTATTTGCTATGTAATGTTCCACACCCTTGGGCATTGAGATATTCACAGGGCAAGTGATGATACTCACAGGTGTCTGCACATCCTGCCCTGTAACTCAGCACATGTGGCCCAACCACTGCCAGGATCCCCTCCTGCAAACCCCTGAATCTACATGCCTTGCCCAGGATGGCGGTGAGGAAGCTGAGCCAGGCATCTGCCCTTCTCATGGTCTGCCGCCTCATCCAAAGGCAGCAGGTGACCCCCAAGTGTTTGCAACCTCCACACCGAGAAGCACTCGTTATCTGGATTGTGTGTGACCAGAGTCTTGCCCTGGCCAAGTAGTCCATCTAACTTTTTATGGCCCTACCAGCTGTGGATGGGCACAACAGCCTATGCCTAGCCCTGAGACTGCAGATGGTGCACCTGACCACAACTCTCCCCACACAGCATCGACTCCTCTTCTAGGGGGGGAAGAGGATGGCAGTGTCATTAGTTAGGATGGCCAGGAGGTTGGATGGGGCCCAAGGTGCCTGAGGGTGGAGGGGTAGGTGTCAGAGGCCCCCTCCCAGTGAGGAGGGGAAATGGCGTAATGCAGGACCACAGGCGATTCGAGGTTCCAAGCCACAGGTGCATGCTCCATTGTCCCTTTGCACTTCTGTTAACAAGACACAGATACAAAGATAAAATTATTAGGAAATTTGGGCTGGCCAGTTAGCTCAGTTGGTTAGAGTGTGGTGTAGATAACACCAAGGTGCAGGGTTTGATCCCTGTTACCGGCCAGCTGCCAAAAAACAATTATTAAGAAATTCAAGACAACAAGTACAGACATTAAATCCTAATAGCAAAGCTCTGTGTCTCTGCACCAGTCCCAAGCCCATGAAACAATTCTGCCTATTTCATTTCACATAGTTAAATTATCTCTTTGTAATAGCAGCTCAATTATGAAGCAAAGAATACCCCATGTGGAGGTAACTGCAAACTGCCAGATGGGAGGGCGTGGGAGCTGAGAGCCAGGCTGTTCTGACAACACCAGCCTTTCCTGACACAGGGCTTTGTCCCCCCAACATTGACAGAGAGAATTAGGGAGGGAGATCAAGGACCAAATCTCCATAAAAGAATTTCAGGTCCAGGAAAAATAGACACCTTTATCCTATGAAGCACCTACCACATAGGAGGCGATAAAGACTTTTTCCCTCCACAATCGTATACTCAGGACTTGAAAACAGAAATACATAAAAGTGGAGGAATATATATTAAAGGTGTGACATCTGTTGCCATTCAGCAGATCATCTACCAAACTCTTCTTGGCAATGCTGTCTTTCCTTCTCTTTACATTTTCAAAAAGAACTTGATCTCACCCTGCTCTTATGCAGTAACCTTGCCTCCATATTTTATGAAAATATAAATGAGCAATTTAGACACTGATAGGATGTAGGGGGTTAGGCATGACAGAGGCAGGAGTCAAGGGTGATTCCCAGGTTTTTAACTTTCTAACAAGAAAGGTTCAGCAATAAGAGAAAGAGTAGATTTGAGAGGAGATGGCTGAGGTTTATACTAGTCAGAGGAACATGTAACTGGAGTTCTTCAGAGGTGGTTTGGCTGGTAAGTCTTCAGTTCAGGACCCAAGCCCATGAAACAATTCTGCCTATTTCATTTCACATAGTTAAATTATCTCTTTGTAATAGCAGCTCAATTATGAAGCAAAGAATACCCCATGTGGAGGTAACTGCAAACTGCCAGATGGGAGGGCGTGGGAGCTGAGAGCCAGGCTGTTCTGACAACACCAGCCTTTCCTGACACAGGGCTTTGTCCCCCCAACATTGACAGAGAGAATTAGGGAGGGAGATCAAGGACCAAATCTCCATAAAAGAATTTCAGGTCCAGGAAAAATAGACACCTTTATCCTATGAAGCACCTACCACATAGGAGGCGATAAAGACTTTTTCCCTCCACAATCGTATACTCAGGACTTGAAAACAGAAATACATAAAAGTGGAGGAATATATATTAAGGTGTGACATCTGTTGCCATTCAGCAGATCATCTACCAAACTCTTCTTGGCAATGCTGTCTTTCCTTCTCTTTACATTTTCAAAAAGAACTTGATCTCACCCTGCTCTTATGCAGTAACCTTGCCTCCATATTTTATGAAAATATAAATGAGCAATTTAGACACTGATAGGATGTAGGGGGTTAGGCATGACAGAGGCAGGAGTCAAGGGTGATTCCCAGGTTTTTAACTTTCTAACAAGAAAGGTTCAGCAATAAGAGAAAGAGTAGATTTGAGAGGAGATGGCTGAGGTTTATACTAGTCAGAGGAACATGTAACTGGAGTTCTTCAGAGGTGGTTTGGCTGGTAAGTCTTCAGTTCAGGAAAGTAATTGTGCCAGAGACAGTCATTTGGGATTCCTCACTTTCTGGTGTTTTTGAAACCATAGGAGTAAATGTGATTGCCCTGTGCACACCTGCCAGAGTGCCTAGGTTGTGCCAGTACTCAGTAAGTGTTTGTTGACTGGATTAGAGCTTGCGCAGTGAAAATAGAAGGAACTGGAAGAATACCAACTTCAAATTTAGGCCTGCAAAGAAAAGAGTTGGCAGAAATAGAGATGGAAGAACAGGAAAAGTGGTCGCATAGGCCCAAGGGATGAAAAGGTTCACAAAGGAGGGTACAGCCAAGAGCATCAAATGCTGCAGATGTGGCAAGTTAAATACAAACTGAGAATTGCTTGTTGGCATTAACAGCTAGAATGCTGATGAGCATGACTGGACTTCTACTGAAATGTGTAGACAGATCTGGATTGCAGTGGCTTGAGAATGAGTGGGAATTAGAGAAGAACAGTGAGATCATGAATGACTGATGCTGCTCAACTCTAAAGAGAAAGAGAGAAACATAGTAGACGGCAAGAGATGTGGATTCAGAGAACATGTATGTTGCTATTTTATTCTGTTTGATTTTATTTATTTGTTCTTGTATTCTGGGTCTTTAAAGAAAAAGCGATGGATCTGAGATCAAAGATTGAGCTCTAACTGGAGAACTTTCACTGCCAAGCAGAATCCAATTAAGCACAGATCCAGGCTTCGGGAGATTTGGTTCAATCGAGTAGAAATAGCACAGTTTCTTAAAACCAAAGAGCCATGAGCTCCCTCTGTCCTATGTTAGGAAAGTAAAGTCTCTGGGTGTTGCTGATTGGCTAGTGGTAGCTGGGCTCATCAGTTACGTAAGCATCGGACCAGCTGGAGTTGTCTGCAGCCGAACATGTAGCACCTGTCTGGGAGTTATGTCATTGTGCTAGTTTCTTATTGCTGCTGTAATGAAGTACTGTGAATTTAGTGCCTTCATGCAACACAAACCTATTATCTCACAGTCTTACATGACTGGAGCTCTGGAAGTTAGAAATTCGAAATGGGTTTCACTGGACTAAAATCAAGGTGCTGGCAAAGCTGCGTAGCTCTGGAGGCTCTCGGAGAGAATCTGTTTCCTGCCTTTTCCTGCTTCTTGGCATTCCTTTGATTGTTGTCCCTTCCTCTATCCACAAAACCACCAGCATAGTGTCTTCAAGTCTCTCTCTGACTGTGACATTGATTGTACTCTCTCCCTCTTACATTTTTAATGACTCGTGTGATTACAGTGAGCCAACTTGAATAATCCAGGCTACTCTCTCATCTCAAGATCATTAATTTGAGACTTCTCAGAAAGATGGCAGAATAGACGGTCCCCAGCATCACCCTTTCCCACAATCAACCAATTTACAACTACTAAAAAGCAAAGACTGCCAAGCTGGGGCCACTAGAGCTCAGGGGAAGAGGAAGAGAGACCTACAGAGTTGATGAAGGCGGGAGAAGCCACGATGAGAGAAAGAAAGGACCGCTCCGACCATTTCAAGCCCTGGCTACTTCAAGGCTGGAACTGGTGAGCACACAGAGCAAGAGCTGGCAAAAGCCACAGCTGTGCACCTTGTATGAAATTGCTTGGAGGCGGCAGTGGAGAAGAGGGCCTTGGTGAACCACAGGCCAGCCAGACCAATGAGAGTGTTCCCATGGACCCATGTAGAAGTGAGGGGTCATAGACAACAGAAAAAAGAAGCCACTCAGAGGCCAGTGAGTCATCACAAGGGACCAGCGCATGGCCCATCCCATGGAAGGAGTTTGGAGTCTGGGGTGTAGGGGAGACAGGACCACCAGGGGAACATTGGGGCACAGCATGGACAGCTGGTCTGCCCTCCCATCAGCACAGGACCCCTCAGTGGAGACTTGTCAGGGATAAAGAACTGCACGGGGTATAGTTTGTTGAAAAGACTCAGGCCCAGACCAGAGTTTCCACACAACCCAGGTGTACCAGACTTCACAAGACTTAGAAGTGCTTACAAAGACAACATTTAAAACCTGACATGCACAAAAAGCCTTCCCCAGAGAATCAGCAGCAAAGTAGCAATTTAGCTCAACCACAGGGCTCAAGTGCCAGTTCCCACAGGAAATTTCCCCATTTAGAAGTAACCAAATGTATTAGTTTGTTTCCATTGCTTATAATAAAATACTGGGAACTGGGCAATTTATAAAGAAAATGAAATTTATTGTTTACAGTTTCTGAGGCTGGGATGTCCAAAGTCCATCTGCCGGTGGTGACAGTGACCCAGGGGTCTCACATTGCAAGATGGTGGAAGCAGAGAGAGCAGAGAGAAAGACTCTCCTTTTAAAGCACTCAGAACCACACCCCTGACCACCGTTTTTAATCCCTTCACTACTTCACAGACCTACAATCTAATCACCTCTTCAAGCTCCACCTTACAATTAAAAATAGAATTTCCCACCCTCTTAATAGTCACAGCGGGGACTAAGTTTCTAATACATAAAACTTGGGGGACACAATTCAAGCTTCAATGAGTTTTGGGGGGACATAATTAAATCCACTACAACAAATCAGTTCCAGTGCAGAGTTTAAGTTGTGAGAATAGCAAATAATCCAACACAGAACTCAAAGAAAAAACAAAAACCCCACAGATCACAGCCAAAGTTCTGATATTAACCAGTAAAGGTCTGACACCACTAAAAAACACCTATAAAACCTAGAAGGATCAGAAGCCCCCATGGCTCCCAAGCCTGGATGGGGGTAGCCAAGGACCTGAGCCATGTCCCACTGATGTCCCGCGTCTAGCAAACAACCACCACCAGGCTGCCACCAGAAGCACCCCAGGCTCCCAAGTGGGAGCAATGGGGTACCAAGGGCGTCAGCCATGACCCCACATGACCATATCCAGCCCAGCAACAACCACTGAGACACCACCAGGAATGCCCAAGTTTCCCTAGCTGAGGCAGTGGGGGGCCGAGGGCCTCAGCCACACTCCCCCTAAGTCTGCATCCAGCCAGCCATGACCAAGCCACCTCCAGAAGGCCCCTGGGCTCCCCTGTTGGAATGAGGGTGGTGCCATGGGCCTCGACCACACCCCACCCTCCTTTATCTTCCCACATCTCTTCCCCCTTCCCATTCCGCTCTTCCCCCACCAACTGCTCGGATAACAACATCATAGAATGTTAAAAAAAATAATAATTAATTAAAATAAAATTTTAAAAATAAATAAAGGAAACACATTAAGACTATTAATTTAATCACATCTGCAAAGTCCCTTTTGCCACATCAGGTAACATATTCACAGCTTCCTGGATTAGGATGTGGACATATTCTGTGGCATTTTTCTTCCCATCACAGGC